TTATCTCTCTGGCACTATGGTTGTTACTCGAATTCTTATTATTGTTAGTCTGATTGTTGTTATTGTTGTTGTCAACTTATTATCATTGGTATTACGATCATCATCAATGTTATCTGTGTGAACTCGGAGCTCCAACCGCAATCCCAGACCCAGCAAAACCAGCGTGGGCAGCGTCATTGCTGTGATCTTCTTGGTAGCACAGCATAGTGTTCTAAACTCACGGTTCATTACAAGTCCGCCCATCACAAGTGAAACCGGAGCAGCACTGGAGCTAGCCGCCTTGACCTGGTGAGCAGTGTGCTAGGGCCGACCAGCTCGACTTTTTGGGGCTAGTAAGTTTATGTGCCACCCCGGTGGTAGTAAAGGATTTGCTTCATCAGCCGGTTTAACCTGTCGCAGTCCGGTCATGTGCTGCTGTGGCCTGTCCCTGCACCGCCCTTGCTCTTCCTGAGCGCCGCCACGACTGGACTGCTGCCGTGGCACAACGTCGCAACCGCTTGAGCTCGCCATGTGGCCAACGGCGGCAAGCCGCAGTGAAGGCAATAAGCTGGCCAACGTGCAGCGGACTCGCGAAGAACTCAGCACAGGGGATGCAGAAATCTGTACGAGTATAAAGTATAAAGTGCCAAAGTGGTGATCGGCTGCTCTTCATGATGCTGAAAGGCCGGCCTTCCAGAATCTTTGTCCGGAGTTTCAGACAACAGCGCCCAAAGCCAGTGCAGCATCCTTTCCGAATCCTCCCTCGAGTGCTCCTCTCAAGGTCAACCCATCAACTTGCAGGGCTCTTTGCCGACACCCCAGAACACGGAAGTCCTTTATGCCCTGCTCGGTCGCTGAAGAACCATAGTGATCCTAAGCTCAGCACTACAAGATCACTTGTCGGACGTGTTCCGCTTTGCTCCACACGGCTCTTCAGTGGCTCATAGTGGATCCACCGAGTCTCAGAGATGTTGCGCAAGCTTGGACAGTTGTCAGCTGCCCCCTCGAGCTTTACTGTGGGAAGTCCAGCAGCTGCAAAGAGAAGATGGCGAAGCAAACGCAAAGCGAAGTTCTCTGAGCATGTCCTTGGCTTCAGGGTAGCAAGGCTGGGACTCTAGACAATCCATGTCATTGCGTCTAACGCTTGCGATGGCTGTGTCATGGTGCTGGCAAAGCAGGTGCAGAGCTCTGCTGTCTCTTCCATCTGCATGAGGTTCGCCCTCCAGAACCTGCTGCGAGCAATGGCTGCAAAAAGCCACAGCAAGGCAAGAATCCAGTACAACGGCTGAAAGCAATGAGTCCAGCCAGGCCTGAAAAACGCGTGCGAGAAGCTTACTTTCATCTGCAGCCATTCCGGATACATCTTCAGCAGCCTTCTTGGCCGCCAAGCTTGCTTCTCTTGCAGCAGCCTCTGAATCCTGATCCTGTCATTTCTGCTGAGACAGAGCCACTTGAAGTAATTTTGTGCAGACGACGGTTGAGAATTCTGGCCATGATCTGAGAAGCAAGTCATCGCCCGCTTCCTCTTGAGCCTTCATCTTGTTGCCAAACTTCCGCCGTTTCTGGGATGGCTCCTCTGCAGCATGCGTCGCCGCTGTGCACCACATGAGAGCCTCACCAGGGGTCCATGACAGATGTGCGTGCTTACCCACCTCTCAGGCTTTTGGCTTCGCTTGCATAGGATCTCACCCATCGAGGCGGCAAAACGTCTTGTGAAACTCCTATACTAGTAGGCCTTCAACTTCCGGTCCAGGGTCTTTGCCCCTCGGTCCGCCAGCTGGGATGTTCCGTTGCCTCGGCGCAATTGTTTTTGAACACCCAGCAAAGGATCTGGTGGTTGAAGCTAAGTGTCGCCCTCTCTCCTCGATTTTTTGAAGCTGAGGGCGCCAGTACCGCTCGACCAGGAGCCTTAGCCGCGATGAAGAGGGTGCCTATCATCATCATCCTCATCTTTATTATCATCACCACCACCACCACCACCGCAATCATCACCATCACCACAACCATAGCCCTGATCATCCTCTGTCTGTTCCTCATCATGCACATGATCATCATTATCATCATCATCGGTGGTGGTGGTGGTGGTGGTGGTGGTGGTGGTGGTGGTGGTGGTGGCGGTGGTGGCGGTGGCGGTGCTGGCAGTGTGGCAGTGTGGCGGTAGCATTAGCACTGGTACTATCAGTAGCACATGTAACATGTACTAGTTGTGGTAGTAGTCGTCGTCGTTGTGGTGGTGGTAGTAGTAACAGCAGCAGCAGCAGCAGCATTCGCAGCAGACTTGTCATAGTAGTTTTCAGCATCTGACCATTTGACCAAAGCTTTCCGAGAGGCCAAACGGCCTCCTGGGCTGCCAGGCGAAGTATCGGCAATGATGGCAAGTTCTCAGTCATGGGCGGGCAGCATCGACTTGAGGTTTGGGTTTGAGGGAATACAACAAGAAACAACGATCACGGGACGGACGGCATTCACCCTGAAGTGCAGCTTGCCAGTACGATCACACGAGTGCTAGTGCTACAAGGTTGTCTCTGTTCGTCGCAGACTTGTCCCGGTCGCATGTGTTTGGGAGTCGCATTGCCGGATTCTCCATCGTTCTTATGTAAGGCATGTTGTCGGCGGGCGAGATTGAAGTGTAGGGAGCGTGGGAAGGTTGCCAAGCGGTTCAACAGGACACAGGGACACTGATACTTGTTAATTACACACAAAGAAACTATGCCTCACAGAGATCGACAGCAAGCTGCTTGATGAGAGGCTTCGTGCCGCAGATCCACGAACAGCTGGGGCCATTCTGCACTCTGTGCCCTGGCCAAGATGGTCGTCCTCCCCGTGCGCGAGACATCCTGACACCACTTCTTTGTGCCAAACATGCTGTTGCTGGTTGCAATTGGACATGAAGATGGGGGACGCCTGGACGCTGAGGCCACGACTACGATGCCGTTCACCAGGCGCACGACGGCCATTGCATACATGAGGCGTAGTTCGTGATCACTTCTGGGGGCGGCTGCTTCAGGATTCAGGTAGGCATCGTTCAGCATTATCTCCACGAAGCTTGCCGTGACATCCACCGCCACAGGTAGTCGACATCGAGTCCTCCTCAGCCCCGGTCTCCAGAGAACCAAACAACACTGCTCCGTTATAGTCAGGTACGGAGTAACCCTTGTCGTTGCTTGGCAAGAGTCCAGGTCTCAACTCGCTTGACACCCCTGGCTCTTTCGCCCGGCTGCGAAGATGTTAGCTGGAGGAAGACGCCATGGAATTCGGCCCAGGAGGCCCAGGGGGCAACCCTGCTCATACTGGCCAACGGCCAGCTCGACAGAGGTTACCGCTTCATGTGCTGACAATGCTTGTAGATGCCGACGACTTTGATGGGGTGCTTGGAGGGAATGTCTGTCCTGTGTTTGTTGCATGGATGGACCTGCTTGTCTCGAACTTCGCAGTTGCGCCAAATGCCAGGAAGCCGCCCGAATAGGGCTGGCAAAGGCAAGACTAACCCTGAAGGGCTCAGGGCTGGTTAAAATCACTGACCTTAAACCCTAAACCCTAAACCCTGAATCACTGGTTGAATCTTCCAATTTGCCTTGCCCAGGTCTTCTTCTCGTTCCCCATCGGCTGGCACGTCCGTCCTGAAAAGAGATCAGAGGCGTTCGCAATATCTACATAAAGGGATATCTATCTATCTATCTATCTATCTATCTATCTACATACATGCATACACAAATACATACATACATACATACATACATACATACATACATACATACATGCATACATACATACATACATACATACATACATGCATACATACATACATACATACGTACGTACATATTGCATATGCAAAATGTCATATACCGTAAATGGCACGACCTAAATATGGTTAAATATGGTTAAATGCATACATACATACATACATACATACATACATACATGCATGCATGCATGCATGCATGCATACATGCATGCATACATACATACATACACATATACATATACATATACGTATCCATATACATGCATACATACATACATACATACATACACACAAACATACATACATGCATACATACATACATAAATACATACGTACATACATACATACGTACATGCATGCATGCATACAGATGTATGTTTGTGTAGATAGACCGATAGATAGCTAAGTAGATAGATAGACAGACAGATAGACGGTCAGATATATATATATATAGAGAGAGAGAGATTCTCGTATTGCAACACATTGCAAAGCCAAGTCTGCTAACAAGACTTGCTCTTGCTAAGGTCCAGGCGAACTTGTCGCGCTGCTTCCTGCACTTTCCGACAAGCGACAGGCCAGAGTAGGAGCCAGTGACATATTTCAAAACTCAGTAGTTGAATAAGATATGCTTGCTTAATTGTGCCCGTGTTTGTGCGTACCCCCCCAATGGCTCGCAAGAGTCCGGGTCTTATCGAGTTAAAGCAGCTACATGACAGCTAGTGGGCAGTCCCTTCAGGCAAAGGCCCGGACTTGCTGCCTCTTGTCTTTGGTGTTTGGTTTCTGCAGGCTGCTGTCTGCAATATGCCGGTTTGATTACCGACAGGATATATATATATACATATGTATATGCATCTATATGTATATATATATATATATACACACACGTATAATATATAATATATGAATATATACCTGTAGGGTTCTAGAAAAGTTCAACAGTAACCAAGTTTCATTAGATCTTCTTGCTGCAGGCATACAACTGAACCCTCCTCCAGCGCCACCTGGCACGCAATTTTGCTGCTTGCTCATGAATGAACATCTAGCCGGCCGATTCAGCCCACTGCGAGATCTGAAGCCACTGAGGGGCACGCGAGTATGCGGATTCACCAAACTCACCTCATGTGCTCCCTGCACAGGATCTTGTTTCCAGGCACGCGCTTCCCAGACTTCGGAACGCGACGTTGCTCCGGCCTGCTCCCTCATCGTGCGAAGCCTCGAACAACAAAGCAGGCAGGGGCGTGGGATCATTTGAACATGTTTGCATCCAGGCAGCAGGTCAGCCAGAAAATTTGCATTTCTTGAATCTGCCAATGTCTTCGTTGATACAACGACGAAATCTGCCTGCGAAGACTTTTTCACGCTGAGCCCTTCGACGATATGATCAGGAACACCTTTGATCGGGTGGCCTCAAAGGTGACGCTGACAACCTGTGGAAGCTTGATCACCTGAGTAGGCTCCAGCCAAGCCACCGAGGCAAGGGAAGTCTCCAGACCTACAGCACCTACAAAGCCCCAGCCACCTCCGCTAGCACGGCTGATCTGAGCTGCTCATCGTCTTTCTGGCTTGAAGCCTTCTTTCCACAACACACGCAGGGCCGCAGGGCAACCCGGCTCCACATCTGCTCCAGCCTTGACAGCCACTTGGCCTCCTTGATCCTGAGAGAAAGTCCCCATTTCCGGGAGGCTTTTTGTCATTTTTCGAAGCTCTCCGTGTCTCCTTGGCACCAACCTCGGGCTCCTCCAGATCCTGGGCCCTCGGTCAGAAGACGCATCTGCAAGGAAGCCCGGCCCCCAAGCACGGGTTCTGCGTCCTTGCAAAGTCCGCACCATCGGCGCGACTGACAATCCACGCGAACGTCTTCAAGGCCGTCTGCCATGTTCACACTATGTGACTTGCCCTGGCACTGAGACGGTCGAGACACGGCAGGCCTCATTCTCACCCCGTAATGTGTTTTCCTCGGCGGTCTTGATGCAATTCGCGTATGCCTGCCTCGAAACGTTCGGGGATGACAGGCCGCAATCAATGTCACTTGAGATGCTATGCTCAAGCTGGAACTCTTCGTTCCGGTCGCCTCACTAAGACCATGTTTGCATCGCTGATAGAACAAGGGTATCCTGAAGTTCATGGCTTCGAATGCGCATCATCTGCTGATGAAAGTAGCAATAAGCACACTAAGCGCAATGCTCTCGTAGCACTTTTTGAGGGTGTTGGCCTTGCAAGCTGCCAAGTTCAAGGGGTGAACAATAGGGAAGACTTTCGTGCAGACATGGTCCGTGCAACTTACTGGTAAAAGCTAGTTGCGACCCAGCTCGGCTCCTGGCGCAGTGACTCTGGACTCTGTTGTCTGGGTGCTCGATGAAGAACATCAACGAGTTACATACCTTGCCTGTGCGCACATGGTATGTCCTTGCATGTCTGGTGAACGCAACTGGGCGGCAAGGGGCGACAGTGGGCCTGCAGCCACCCGCAGCTTTTCTTTGGTCTCTGCGGTGCCATCCTCAGCTCCTTCCGCAGCGCGCGTGATGCCACGAACCTGACGTCACAGACAGCGCCAGTCACTGCTGTTTCAACAGCAGGCGACACTAGTCCGCCCTGTGTTGGCGAACGGCTCTCTGCAAATTGTTCAGTCTAGGCAGTCTCGGCTTTGCATCGCCACTCCGATCATGGAACATCTTGAAACACGACGTGCTTACGCAGTGGCGATGATCTCAAATCGGAGAGCCCCCAACATGACTCGTCATCGTCCCCACAACCCTAGGTTTTGTTCAAGGCCCCAATCCCCACTCCATTCGTTGCAACGCGCGCGCTTCGTTTCTTTATGCCTGGGATCTGGGACGAGGCATTGTTTGTCGAAGACTTCCAGAGACCATGAGACGGGGACTGATGGAGATTCATCACATGTTCAGAAGCAACAGAACTGGCCCCATGTTCTGCAAATTCTATGCCGAGGTCTCCACAATTAGCAACGCTTGCTCAGCCGACATGGCAATGAATCTGCAATGTCACATGTGCTGCGCCCGGTGCAGGGGTTAGGATGGGTCCAGAGGCTGGGTTTGCAGTTCTCTGCAGTCCGCGCAATGCCGAAACAGCATGCCCGCATCCACTGCATTCTACCACCTGGGTCCCTGCCAGAGGAAACCCTTCAGGAAGCTCTTCTGGCTGCATCAAAATATGACGGACCTTCAAAAGAACAGGGTGCTAAGGTATACTATAGTTATAGTAAGGAGCCCTCACTAAGGCCCGTATATTAGGGTGTATGTATTCATGTCACCTGACAAGGGGGAGCCTACGACCTACCACGCGTTACGTGGGAGTTTCCGAAAATAGGGGACCCTAATATAGTACCCCAAATGATAGGATCCTTATTATAAGGACCCCAAAATAAGGTACCCCTAATTTTCGGAACCCCCACGTGGTGCCAGGCATGACTAGGAAAACTCCTTGAGCCAGCTCTCAGCGCCCAACATGTTCTGGCGATCTTGTTTTAGACGGATTAGGGATGTAACTACCATTAATTACCTATACTATTTTGGGGGTTCCTTATTATAATTATTGTAGTATTGTATAATATAACCCCAAACCCTATTTCAATTGTTAAGGGGCGTACATACATATATATATATATATGTTTTTTATTATTTTTTGTTGGCCTCGGGCCCCCCCACAAGCTCTGAGTAATGGCAAGAGGAGTCTGCAGAAGCACATTTCGACGAGTCAGGCTTTGCACGGATGTCGCAAACTACTGCCAGTCACGCTGGGAAACCCAGCCGAAGCAAGAAGCAAAAGCTCGTAAGAATAGTTGCGCTCCGGCGCTCAAAGTGGCTTAAAGACAGTTGACATTGACACATTTACCTTGCAGTCCTAATTGTGCCTGGCAAGGCTTTGCCGACACAGGGGACAGGTACTGTTCACCTGAAGCCAGTGCTGCAGGCAGTCTTTATGAAATATGTGGTGACACTCCTTTGTCATTACTGTTGTTTCTGGGGTGCATTCTTCCAAACAAATTGGGCATTCATAGCCGTCCTCGATCTCGGTCACCTCTACTGTGCAGTCCTCCAGGCATCCTTTCGGCGCTCCATTGGGCGAGGTCAGGAGCCCTCGCCTGAGCAAAGTTTCCAGCAAGTTGCCAACTCCAATGAAGCTGATCAGCAAGTAGACGGAGTAGACGACGAGCCCGACTCCATGAGCTACCGTGGCCATGTAGAGACCAGGGGCAGCGTCGGAGCAGTTGGGCAACAAGCTCACATCTGCCACACCACTGATCTGTGCTGCAGAAAGTGAAAGCACGCCCCAAACATTCAGGCCCATCGTCAGTAACAAAAGCACGATGCAACAGTCTTTCATTCTCCACCTCCGTGGGAGGCTCGTTTCGTCCACTTCTGTGCAGCAGACTCTGGTTCCCATCAATATGTCAAATATAGAGATGCCGAGCACCACCCGCGTCATCACCCTGAGACTACCATTGCATTTCACGTGCCGGTAGTGCCAGAATTCGCACATGTGCCAGATGAACAGGCCACAGACTGTAACACTGAGGAACACGGCCATCACGGCAGCAAACATGATATACTTCGAGTATAAGGCAAAAAGGACTTCGTTGCGATGCTGCGCGACTGCCTGTGCATTGGCTTGGCCAGTTGACATGCCCTGTTCTCGCATCTCAGCGACGGATGCATGCCGCTGAAACCGTGCCACTGCTCCCCAACCCATTACATGGGCAGACAGCCGATGTGCGACGCTAAAGCCCTCCCCATCCGAATCGTTCGTGTCGCTGGAGTCCTGGGGTCTCTAACAGCGAGGAGCGAAGATGACGACAACTCAACTCTTACTTACCTGTCGCGGTTCTAGTTTAAGGTACCCAGACCGCTACAAAACAGATACGATAAACACACAGCCTGTGCTACTGTAACAACCAACCACGAACAGAAACAGCACTGTGAGACACATGGTCAACCCGAAACGCACACAATCACTTTAGTCTTTGCACTACTTCTCAGGAACAACACAAGTCCTCCTCAGACTCACCTTCTGCGGACAACTGTACAGGCGCCGGAATCGGAAGAGAAGGTAGTCTCGCACCGCCTGCCGTCCGCTGGCACAGAGTTTCGACAGCGAAGGTGTGGGGGGATTCTCTACAACTCCTGCAGAGGGGTCATGGTTCGGGCATTCGCCACTTTCCCTACCCTAAACCCTACACCTACTAAACCCAAAAACCCCTAATTAGTATGGGTTCCGAGGGTCTTGGTCGGCATTACCAGGCCCAAGCCTGCTTAATGGGTCCTTGCCGACTCCCTTCCTTGTTTGGACTTCTCATGGCTTTAGATAGCCGCTTGTTCCGGAATGGATCAAACCTGAAAGGCCAGAAGACCATGTAAGTCAATGCAAGCCCCCTGAACCTCTTACAGCACTGTAGGAAGGGCCCTTGAGCCTGGGCTTGCGAGCACGCCCGAGATGTTTGGGAAGGCAGGCATGGCAGAAGGTGACTGCGATTGCGTCCCAGTCTGTGGAGAAGCCGCTCCGAAAAGCAGGCTTCTGGAGCCATTTGGAGCCTGGATGACCGTAGACGCCATGGCCAACCAGCGGCAAGTTTCTGGCCCTGAGTATCCCAAGCTGCGTCGTGCCTGTCTACAGGAATTCACTGTACACAAAGCGCAGATGCACCCCAGAAGTGTGTGTTCCGATAAACTCTGTCCGGCACAAGCCTGGTTGGGAATCGGGCAGACAAGCACAGTGTCGCAAAATGCTAAGTGACTGGAGCTGTGCAATCACACAGGTCTCGCAAGAGGCAAAAGACAGTTCTTTTTCTTCCGAAGCTTGCCACGCGCAGTGTGCAAAGCGACTGGGTCTCAAGCATCCAGAATTGCTTGCCAAGGTATGTGGATCGGCATGAGGTCCTCAGAAAGCATGACGGAGCAGTCAGGCTTAAAGCACCCTTTCATGCTTGTCGAAAGGCCGAAAGTCCTCGCTCTTCAGGGACGGGTTGGCAGCCGTCTTCCATTCACTCCACAGCTGCATCAGGGATCCCTTCGAGGGATGTGCAGGTGACAGCATGTATGCACATGTGTGTGCGCACGTGTGTGTGCGTGTGTGTGCGTGGGGGCGAGCTACACTGTTGTTCAACCATATCGATCCGTATGTAGCTGTGGGAATGGATGGATGTATGCAGGAATGTGTGTATATACACATAAGTACATGTAACATGTCACATACGGACATATAGACACACACACACACACACCTGTTCACATTCACCACGGCCTTTATTTAGTATGGTGCTTCGACCTTTGTGATTCCGCGACCCAGCGTGCTTCGCCTCATCACAGCCCAGCAGGGACAGCGAGTGTGGAGGGCCGCTGCTCCTACCACGAGGAGACTGCAGATAGCAAAACATCCAATCGACTCTCTCGGCTGGATGGTGAACCCAGGATCTCATCTTCGGTGCTAGCGTAAGCTTTCTGACACTCCTGCAGGCTTGCATCCGACTTATGGACTCGCGGTAGAACTGGAATGGAATCTGACCTCGGCACCCGTGACATGGGCGGTCTATCTGAATATCTGATACACCCTACGCACACTGCATCATGGGAGCTGGGGGAGTGGACGGTCTCAGCTGACAGCTTGAGAGCCGTACTGATTTTGTCTGGGGATGTGTTGCCAAGCTCCCAGAATTTGTCCTGCATAGGTCGTGGCAAACTCGCAGACCCAGTCATACCAAAGCCGCGACAAGCACCAGCGACAAACTCACAATGTATCCCATTCAGCATCCTACATAAGTGTCCTGCCACCTGGAAAACGGACAAGATTCATAGTGGATCACCATGAGGGCGGGTCCAAATGGTTCCTGCAACAGCACACACCCGAGCCCCTGATCTGCTCTCGATCTTCGCAAGGCAGACAGACAGTGTCACAGCTGCGTTGTGTAAGGAAGCCTGGCAAACCCTAACCCCCCAGGTACCTACTATATAGGGTACTAGAGGCCCTAGGGCCCTATATAGTAGGTACCCGGGGGGGTGAGGGAAAACAGCAGGCCTGATCCAGGTGAACCGAAGGCAGCTCCTGGTTCTTGGAATTACGCCACTGGTGTGGGCCGGCGGGGTATGCCTCGAGGACGGGCAGCAACATACACGCCTCGTTTGCATGGCATGGCACACACGGCCTCGCTTGCAGCCACCCGAAGGGCAGACTTGCCATTCGCGTAGGACTGGAAAGTGTAGCGGTTCAGATTGACCTCCCAGCCATCAAAGGTCGAAACTCTGTAGACTAGTAAAGCCCTCTCCCGAATGCTCGCCGATCCGACTGTCTGTCGATGCCTTGTCTGTCTGGGCAAAGCAGTTCTTCACCTGGCGACGATCGTCCCAGCCGACGGCAGATGAGAGGGCAGCAGCATGGCAGGCCTCCGGAGACGTATAGACAGCCTCCACATTTGGCAGGTATGCCTGGAGCATCGAATCGCGGAGGAAGCTGCAAGTAGGCATCACCATAAGCCAGCTACAGTAAGAACCGTCTGCAGGCTCATCGAAACGTTTTTGGCGCAGGTGGTCAAATTCTCGGCTTCCGTTGAACGGCCGTGCGGAGGTGCGCAACTGATGCGCAAGATCTCACGCCTGGAGATGAGAAACCCCTGTATTCAGACCAACCTACTCTGGCAGACTGGAAGGGCGCCCTTCCGTGCCTGCTGGAAAGCTACTAACTCCCAAACCAGCTAGAAGTATTCAAAAGTTGAAAGCCACTTGTGTCGAAAGGGCTTTCAAACCTGTACTTTGCAAGCTCAGCGTTCGCACCAGAAAGGAAGATCTACTACTTGCTCGCCGTACGGTGCAATGCTTCTCGTCAAAAACTACGGTACGTTGTGTCTTCTGATGCCAGCGGACGATCGCGGAGCTTCTACGAGCCACCAACATCCCAGGCCATTGCAAAGGAGCCGAGAGATGGGTAGCAAAGGAGTGCAGGCCAGGATCCTGGCTTCACATGCCTTGGAAGTGATCATCCAGAAGCATCAGGGAATCTAAGGATTGTCAGATGGCCACAGGTTTCAACCGCTGCCAAGGCTCGGAGTGCTTAGAGAGCAGCAAGCAAAAGGCAGCGAGTTCGTAAGCTTTCCGCACAGATCCTCCACATGTTCCGCAGTAGTAGTCCGTTCCGTTACGGCTATGGAGGTTGCTGGCCCGAAGTTTCTGCGTGCATACTGGCAACAGAGCACCGCGCTGGGTCCTCTCCCAGCGAATTGGTGCGCAATCTGCCCAAACGCCAGAATGCGACAGTCACCTGCTTTCAGAGATACTTTTCAGCTCCTATGCCGCTCCAGGGCCTTGGCTCCCAGGCGCCTTGCATAGGGTTACGGCGGTTACGCCTGGTCATCCGTGCCGGAGAGGAGTCCACGAAGGAAGAAGAAGAAGGACACCTCCGTGTCCAAGCACAGCACAGTTGGTGCACAGCAGATTTGGCGCACGCGCCACATTCTGGACTGCAACAAGACCAGCGCAGATCATCCAACTGGCAGAAGCCTCCGTAGCACTGATGCCATACCTCGAAGTTTGTAGGGATTCAGGGTTTGTATAGTCACGGCGTTGATTGTATCGCCACAGTGCCTTCTGACTCGTGCTTCCAAGATGCCTGTATACAAAGCGCGAAGCAACCCACGCCCCAACGATGGCCGCAATGTAATTCGCCGGGACACGCTCCAGGATTCCCTGTGGGGGACAGAAGTTAATGGTTTCGGTTGCTCGGAGTGTCACGTGTCGTTTTGGATCCCGGTGATAGCGCCTCGATGCCAAGCTTCCTCAGCTTCTTACAAAGGAGCACAAAGGACGTAGACGTACACCGTGAATTCATGGGAGTCTCTGGGGCTCAAGGACTCTCAGAGGCTGCCATCGAATCTGAACTGCTGGCCTATTTCTGTGGCAAGCAGAACACTAGAGAGATTGAACCGTGGCAGATGAGACTGGCCAAAGACGAGGAGAGGTCGATTTTGCCCCGATGGGGGGGTCTCAAGGGCCGCCCGCCAAGGCCGCACGGCTTTCGAGTATAACTTGTCTCGAACTACCAGTAGTGACGCCGCATCGCTGCACCCCCCCTCCCGTCCACGAAGAAACGGAAGAGCAGATCAACTGGCAAAGCACAAGAAGAGCGATGTCCAGCTGGGACTCTGCAGCATCAAGGGCGGGATGGCTATAGTCAGCACACGCCGAACGAGCTGCTCCCTCTCCGCAATGGACATGTCCTCTGCTAGGTCAGAGATCCGCGATGTAAATTGCCGATCGTTCTGCACATCTGCTGCTCAAGCATGCATCTTCGAAGTCCTCGAACTTCTCCATGATGGTGTCCTGCAGCTTAGATTCCACGATCAAGGGCATCGAGTCATGTGCAGCTACGCCACAGGGTGCCGGTACAGCTCTGTGTCCTGCATCTTCGTGATCTTGCCTGGTGTACCGCGGGTGCACAAGGGGCGCAGCAAGTGAGACCAGGACCGGAAGGAAGGGATGACGTCAAAAGACACAGCCACGAGGACAAAGGGCAGGGAACAGCCTCAAAACCTTAACCAACTAAGCCCAAAACCCCAAGCCAAAAGCTCTCAAAACCACGCCGTACTGGAGGAAGGCAAAACGCCGAGTATCACCCAGTGCAGCCGCGGGGCTGGAGATAAGTTTGGTGGCATCCACCTTCAAGGCCGAGAAAACCCCAAACCCTGGCCCTACCCTACACTAGGGTTTAGGGTTTAGGGTTTAGGGTTTCCCTACACTACATCCTCAATCTTAAACCCTAAACGAGGGGGGCAGGTCCAAAGTCTAGTCCTCTTTGGGGCATTTGGGGTCCCTGTCGGGGCTAAACCATACCAAAAAAGCCGCAGCTGAACCACCCCCTTCCATTGCTTCCTATTTGCTGCCTAACATGACGCCCACCCTCGCCTTCTTGATGCCTTTGATGCTACACTGCCAGATAGCCTTGAACTCCTGCTTGGCATTTTCGATGATGATCTCCTTGATCTGCTGCACCTTGATTAGAGGGTTGAGGGTTGAAGGCTGCACAGTAGCTCCAGCCCAACTTGAGGAACAGGAATGCCACTTTGGCACGTAGTCTTGGTAAAATTGCGGCGCTTGTCCTGAGTCGCTGACAGTTTTTGTGCATTCCAAGAGCTCTGCTCGACGTGAGACACATTGCCTAGATTAAGACGCACTGAGCCTGACACGTTCGGTATCAATTGAACACTGACCAGACTGCGCCCTTCCCCGCTTAGGTCTTGCCCCTCCGGCCACCAATCTTGCAAGCATCCCAACTCTGGCAAATCTCAGTTCCCTGCAGCTCCACAAAAACCGTCCCAGACTTTTCACCCGGCCAAGCCTGCATCTCAGAGTGCTTTCGGCCAAGCATCCTTTGCGAGGATCAAAGCACATCAGCGCTGAATGATCCTCTGCTGGCAGCGCAAGGGCTGCAAATACCTCCAGCGACGAGGAGTTGACGCCGCCCTTGCAGGGTGCACCAAGCTGGGACTCTGGTGGATACGGGGGCTTAGTATGCCTGGGTGTTCTTGATCCGACAACAAAGAACTTGCTTTCCCCACCTTGTTGGTAGAAGCATCCTTGAAGACATGGACGCCAGCATTCTCCAAAGTTACTCGTGCCCCATCAGACAAGAAGAGATTCGCACCTTCGACCTGGAGATCTCCCTCCCTCCGTTTCAGCATTGAGAGAGAACTAGTACACGAGCCAGCTTCCTCCTCATTTGCCGAGTCGCGATAAGTCGAAACTTTGGTTTCAAGCCGTCTGCTGTAAACATGCGCTTGACATTGTCACTGGTGATAGAGTTGGGACGGCCGCCGCAAGGAACGAAAAGGTCTGCTGTTGCGTAGGTTGTGAGGTGGAAAGAATCTCGCAACCTCGGGCGATGTCTGACTGTGACTTTGAGTTAACAGGTCTTCCACGGGACACATCAGTTGAGTGGCTCTGCTCCAGTCAAGTACTTCGATCCATCAGGCAGAACAACATCACTCTCATCCACGACAACAAGGAAGCCGCCAGTCCTTTGCTGAATTGAAAGGGCCAAGATCGAGAGCACCCACTGCACACTGCACCGACGAGGCAGAGTGCTACTAAGCCGCTTCAGCAAGGAACGATCGAAATGCTTCACAGGCAGTCGCTGTTTTGCCAGGCGCCGCAGCTCCACGCGGTTGAGACCAGCCGGATCATAAAGAACACCAGAACCATCTACGATTGCCTTGCAGCGTAGTTGCATACCATCCTCTAATGTGATTCCCGGATTCGCCATCTTTCGGTGACAAGTCACAACGGTGTTGTCCTTGGAAATCAGAATTTCATTGGAGCCTAAATCGCCGTCAGGGCCACCTGTTTGGAACTTGGTGATTTGGCTCTCGTCCTGCAAAAGCGAAGCGGATTGGAAATGGGATCAAAGAGCACTCTATCGCTTCTCCGTGGCAAGTCCTCGCCGAGCTGGTGCCTCCGCGGAAAAGGGACTGCAATGGTGTTGGGCTTAGGGTATAGACAGTAATGGGGGTTGAAGGCTGGCGGTATAGGGTGCAGGGTATCACCGAAGCGAGCTTTCAGCAGCAGCACAACACCGGAAAGACTTCGCGACTGAAGCTCGCCGGAACAGGCTGCAAGTTGATGCGAGGAGCAGAAGCTCTGTCACGTAAGTGTGGACACTGGTGGTGGTCATGGCGTAGGTATCGTGCGGCACTCCACCTTCATGTGCTCAGCACAAGCTTAACGGCATGTAATTGGGGGCAGGGAAGACAATGCCACTGTGTTGATGTTTGGTGTGGGTCGCAAGCAGAGGCTTCGACTTCAATGCTTCCCCGGATAGCGCCTAAAGAAACGCTCTTGCCGGTGGTGAGTGACTTCCAATATGGATAGCCCCGCTCCCGAGCAATGTCTGCACCCAGGTCCATGAACCTTCGGGGCTTATGTGCACTGAAGTCTGCGAACCATAACAAGGCATTTCATGCCAATGCTCGTTTCCAAGCAACCCTGCTGTGTTCTCATCGGGCCCAAAGAAGAGAATTTCCTTCTTAGCATGCATGTGCCCACTGTACAAGTTGCTTTGCTCTGGCTGCATGCAATCCAGCAATGCGTTGACATAGTTGATGAAGCAGGAGCCTTGAAGTTCGAGGCCGCGGCTGCACGCAAAGAGCCAGCTAAAAAAAGGACGGACGGTTAAGCTTAAGTTTTCAAGCCAGGCCACGCATTGCTGCTGGGCTTTGCGATGAATTTCCCATGAGCGCGTTGCCATCCACATCCTTCGCCCCAGACCAGTTTGAATCTGGTAGAATAACGCCCTTCGCTCCACCTGCTCATCAACCCGCGCTGCCAGCCCACAGCAAGCTCTTTCCTACATGCATTCATCATGTGTGTTCGCAGAACGAGTTGCAAACGTGGTATGCAGCCGACCTTCCGGAATGTCTTTGTTTTTGTTCTGCTGAGTGTACGCGAGGTTGTAGCATTCGTCAAACAACGTGGCGAAGTTCCGCTCATAAGCTGCCCCATCGCGGGATAAGACCAAGCGGATGCCACCCCTAGCAACATCCCGAAATCGCGTATGAAAGCCCATGAAATCTCGGCCGCAAACCATATAAATCCTCGGTCAAGACTTCGCGCAGACACGGCACCCAGCAAAGCTGAAGCTTGCAATCGGTCCGAGGGTCCCATATGGAATCTCAGGATAGAGGGAAGCCGGGCGGTCCTTCAGGACGATGGCCGGGTCCTGGCAACACAAAAGAACTTGACTCCTCACCACAAAGCCAAATCGCAGACCCCAAGTGTGCAGTCCAGACGAAATGCAAAAGCTCCAGGAATCTCTGGCTTGAAGAAGTTGGTGAGTCGGACGCTATGGTTGAAAGTCAGGAACATCCTGCAAGCACATCCTTTGCTGTCATGAAGCTTAAGCTCCGGTCCGGTGATGTTAAGAACACCGTCCGTAAGATCTGTCGATCTTGTGGATCGCTGCAGGCCGCGTCGATCGAGGCGCCCAGCACAGAATTGAAGCTCGGAGCGGACTCACCTTGCCGTGTTCGAACTGCAGGTGCTGAAATGTGTGATTGAATGAATCAATGAAACAAACGCAGCCGCCATCCTACGAGACTTTCGAGGGCTTGCCCAATCCGCCAAGCGCCCGAGCTCGCATTAGGAATGAGGCCATTAAGGGTAGGGTTTAGGGTTTGGGGTCTTTAGGGGCTAGTATAGGGGCCTTAATCATTAAGGGGCAAAGGACCCATGCAGGCTGAGCCTCCCCACCTGTTGCAATCTTTCGGAAGTCAGTGTAGAACTGCTCAGCCAAGGCTGGTTGTCGGCTAATCCTTGGCCAATTCAAGCTTCGATGCCCAGATTTTGCTCATCTGGCAGTTAAGCTCTCTTATACACATATGTGTGTGTGTGTGTGTATCTCTTTCTTTGGCCGGGGTTAGGGGCAAAAGGGGCAAGCCCCCCTTACCTGTCTCTATCTCTCAATTTATATGCATATACATAGAAACATACACATACAAATACATATACACATACATATACAAATACATTTACATCTCCATATACATATACATGCGCACATGTGTGTTATGTGCATGTGTGTGTGTGTATGTGTATATATATATATATAAAGGTATGTCTGCATGTATGTACGTACATAGGTGTGTTTGCGCGTGTACGTGCAGTCATACATACATCTCTTAAGGCATTTACTTGTTGGCTTCTTCGCTTGGTTATTCATTCACGTATTTGTGTGTTTCTGCTTACATAGCTATCCTTATAAGTGTGTGTATGTATGTCTACTACTAGTTTGGTGCGTGTCTTTGAACCAATTAAACTATATTTAGTAAACCGTACTAACCTATGCTGGAAGGATGTGAGCTTTCCATGTCTGAGGTCAAGCTGAGACTCAGCTGGTAGATTCGCTCGGTAGAAAGCAAGTCCTTCATGCAAAGGCGGTACAGCGTCTCCAGCTTTCTCTGGGCCGCAGGGTTTTGCTCCAAGACCTTGTGGACACCAGTGTACTCCCGGGAATACTGCTCTTTCGGGAAGAATGCATAGACGAACTTCACAGCTGCCAAAAGGTAGAGACCACACTCGTGAGAAATCCTGCCAACATGCTTTCTTTCATATTGCCCCAAACCGTGTGGTACACACTATGAGGTTCTGACGTTAAGGACACAGAGAATTGGTTGGTGACGGTTAGTGTTCCTGCGCGGCGCCGCGGGCAACGTTCCCCTGGACACAGCTCCCGCTGTGCCAGGGTGCGTGTTCTGTTTTGCGCTGATGTCCTATTTGATACATGGGATTTGTATGGATTCCGCCAGTTGCGGGAAGCATGGTAGAAGTCTGTGGCTCCTGCTGATCTCCTGGCGGTCTCCTAGTCGCGGTCGTCTTCGTCGTCGTGGTCGTCGTGGTCGTCATGGTCGGTGCGGTGTTCTATGTATCACTGTTCGGGGATGAACCGTGGCATAGTATGTCATAGTCTGTTCGGTGTGCTACATTATGTCCTATTTTGTTACATGATGCTATATTATATCTTATTCCGTATTCCGTTATGTTACGTGAGATTATGACACTTTATGTTTTGCTATGCTATATAGTACAATGTATTGTAGTATATTATACGGGATCTCGTATAATTGCTATGACTGGTATGAGAACGGCACCGCTTGAGACACACCCATGATTGCACCCGCAGAACTGGGGGGGTCTCCTTGACTGCATGACCTTGTTATACAGCAAGGCGGATCGGCCAGGTGTGGCCTTTAGCAGGGTGGCGTGCATGATCGTTCTCTTCAGCTTCTGGACTTGGTCATCACTGGCGGTTGGGAAGAAGAGGCTATAAGTGATAACACCATTTGCGAAGCTCTCCAAGTAGAAGCGTCGGGGAATTAGTCCCACGAAGCGCATCGCCTGCCAGATCTCTTTGAGGAAGTGTCGACCCACGGTCTCTGCCGTCGAAAAAAGCACCACGAAGCCGTAAGGACATGGCCCAGGGTACATGTGCCCAGGGACAACCCTCACGACACTCCGGCGCGTCGCAACGACATCTTCCATGACCTGAGGAGCCCATGGAGTTCTTGCTCCAAGTGTCGAACGGATTCGTAAGAGCCCAAAGGCACAGAGTGGAGCATCATGAAAACCAGTGAAAGATGAAGATACTGCGAGACGAGGCATCCTGGAAAAGCACTAATTACCACACAAATATACCCTGCTCTTGACCTCGCAGTTTCGGCTGCATGCATTTGGCTCCACCATATCAACCACTCTGCCAAAACGTTGCGAAAACGATTGATACACCCGTGCTATCCCATGCTGCCAATGCAAGTGATGTATGGTGATGTGCTTGATGCAAGCTGCTCTTCTGATATACAGCTTTCCGAGGTCCAGACAATTTGGTACTGCTCCTTGGCCTCCCTGGTCTTGGTCATCAAAAAACGCGAGGATGCCAAGACCTCCAAGGAGGCTTCTCCCTCCGCCACCCGGGAGACCTCGAAGTGGCCCTTCTCTACGGAGTAGATGCCCAGGCGCTCTTGTCCACCGACGAAGGCTGGACCTTCGGAAGACATGAATGTCAAGGCCACCTGAGCTCAGAGCATCCCGCGACAGTCACTTTAGCTACATGTTGATCCATGCTTTTGGTTTCTGAATATCGGATGCCGTTTTTTCTTCGCCGCTTCGCGGAAAACATGATTCCTTTCGCGCATCCATCGCGGAACTTTGGGACGGACGCTTGTAGCAGTAGCAGCTGGTAGTAGTAGTAGTAGTAGTAGTAGTAGTAGTAGTCGTCGTCGTCGTCGTCCTAGTCCTAGTCCCAGTGCTAGTCCTAGTCCTAGTCCTAGTCCTAGTCCTAGTCCTAGTCCTAGTCCTACTCCTAGTCCTAGTCCTAGTCCTAGTCCTACTCCTAGTCGTAGTAGTAGTAGTAGTAGTAGTAGTAGTAGTAGAATTAGTAGAAGAAGAAGAACTTGCCTCTACCTGGCTGCGTCGACTTTACCGGAAACTGGTCTTGGCACCTCGCTTGAATTTGCTGCGGCATTGTGCAATAACAGGTCAGGACCTGTACACCTGCAGAACGAAGAATGATGGTATGTTCTCTATAATGATAAATCTTATATGCCCCAAGTCTGTCACGTAAAAACATTCGTGGAATTTTGAATCCTTTCACTGGGCCATGGCGAAACTTTCGAGGACACATTGCTTCAAATCTCAGAAGCAGTATGAATATAACCAACAACACGGACCTTTAGATTAATGCTCACATCTTCGATGGAGGTCAGATCTGCCTGCCAAGGCGCATTCTTTCCGTCCTCGAAGCAGTGCGTGAGGAAGGCCGACACAGCATCGATGGTGCGAAGCTGTGCTCCTGCGATGGGGCATACTATACCGGAGTGTACAGGAGAGACTAGAAGCCCTAATCACTGTGTCGACATGAAAGGGGCGTCCTGTTGGCTCCCTAGCGCAACCAATGCTGCTCAGGAAGAAGCCACTGTGCTCTGACCTTTGCGGCTACTGTGGCAAAAGAACATCGAGGGGCTTGCTGCGGTTGCTCAAGAGCCAAGGACGAATGCTCAGAAACTGGCTTGAAGTCAAACTCCAGACCCCCGATGTCGTCAGTAGCACGGGCGACATGCTTCGCAGCAATGAGGCAGTGAACATGCTTGGCAATCTGCATGGGGGTGAAATGCTTGAAATAGATTTCATGAAAGCGGAGCACCTGGAAGAAGTGCTTCACTTCGGCATGAACTGTCGTGTAGCTGAAGACACCTTCTTTGACAACCAGCTCGAACACGGTCCCCATCAGCTCATCTGTATCGTTGCTATCCCGATCCTCAGATCTAGGCGCACTTCACGCCACAACAACCAAAGAAAAATGGCAAATGCAACAAGACTAGCCATCGACGAGCCTCTGTATTTGCATTCAGTGTTTCGACGGAGTCCACGCGTCGTCGCTTTTGCAGAGACTGCTGCGAAACTGCAAGCTTCTGGCTCTGAAGGTAGCGCCGCACCTCCGTGTGGCTGTTCTCGACAGCATCGTGTATGGGCAGCAACCCGAATCTATCCTGCTGCAGCGATGCACCACACTCTGCGATCAAAAACTTGACGACATCTAGCCTCATGCGGTGGCCAGGCATTCTGCGAAGGCATGGAAACATCTGCGGATTAAAAATCTGCAGGAAGCTGTAGACAAAATTGATGCATAACTACCTCTCCCTCGGCCCAATGCCTCTTCCCAAATCTCTGACCGAGAAACTTGCCTGCGGCAGCTGCCAAGTGCAGCGGCGTTCGCATGTCGTAGGCAGTTGCAGCATTGACCTCGGCCCCGGCGTGGATGAGAACCCGAAGGCCAGCGATGTCGCCGCTGGCTGCGCACTCGCACAAGAGGCCGGTCAGGGCAGCCTTCTCAGCTGAAGATATGCTAGAACAAAGTATGGTATACTACAATATAGTAGAATACACTGTAATATATACTACAAAACACTAGATCATACTTCTATATGCTATCTGCAACAATGTACTACACAGCTCTGTAATAACCTGTATAGAAAAACTTTCGACCACACACACACATGATGATGATCGGCAGGTCAAGAGGAGGCCTGCGGCAATGCCTTCAGAAAGTCAGGTTTCAGCTTCAGCTGCAAGGGGTCACTGTCAACGACCACCATGGTGGAAAAGAATCTCTCAGTGTTACAGTTTGGGCCAAACTGGCGCTGCGGCAGCAAAAAAGACCTCATGCCTCAACGCACCGACATGCAATCCTCGCCATCAGCCCTTGCATGCCGCCTGTGCCAAGTTTGAGGGCACGGCAGCCAACAGATCCTCCCAAGCATCAAAGCGACGTGCGACTGCTTCAGGAATTCGTCTGCGGCTGCGCTCCCCAATCTTCCGGCTCTGAGGAGAATAGAGCAGCTCGTCGTCATCAATATGAATGAGCCTGAATTGCTCAGAGTACTCATGTATGCGGCCTTTTGCGTCCGGAGCATTCTCTCAGTCTGAGCTCAACAATTACCGATATCTTTATGGGGTTCCTCATTGTAGCCATAGTAGAATAATACCCCAAGGCCCTATTCCAGGGCCCAAATTGCTGCAAAGCGCGGAAGATTGTAGAGCCCCAGCACCTGCCATGGGTGCGCCTGCCGGCTACGGGCAAGTAGTGCATGATGGCATGCGTGCCATGCACAAGCTGGGTATTCGGGGGTTGCCTTCACCCGGCATGATGGCGATCATGGGCGCAAAGGACACACTGTGTAAGGTGGACATGTTGAGCATCGGTTCGGAGGACATGCTCGCATACAACGCGGCACAGGAGTTTGCGTCTGGCTTCAAGAAGAGGCTTTCTTTACAGCTGCGTGGCATTAAGCAGAACAAATGCTCATCAGGCGAGGGCATCTGGATCACCAAGCGGCAACCTGGCAGCTCATGCACTTCACCGGACGTGATGCGGCTTGTGGGCTCGAAGGACATGCTGTGCAGGGTGGCCATCTTGAACATAGGTTTGGTGGACATGCTCGCGCACTTCACCGGAAAGGAGTTTGCGGCTGGCTTCAAGAAGATGCTGGCTCTCCAGCAGCGCGGCATCAAGCAGAGCAGTGGCTCGTCAGGCGAGGGCATTTGGATCACCAAACGGAAACCTGACAACTCCGGCACTTCACCCGACGTGGTGGCGTTCACGGATGCGAAGGGCACTCGGTACAGGATGGCCATGTTGAACATGGCTTTGGAAGACATGCTCGCGTACGTCACCGTGTGGAGTTTGTGGCTGGCTTCCAGTAGACGTTGGCTTCCGAGCTGCACTGCATCAAGCAACAATAGAGACTTATCAGGCGAGAGTGTCTGGATTATGAAACGGAAACCTGGCAACCACTGCAAGTCTTGCGAAAGGGGTGATGCACAGACGACAAGGCATTCGATCTG